TAGGGAAATGCTATTTTCTCCTTCAATTTTCAGATTAATATGTAAAGTTAGGACATACAATGACAAAATATAACACTACCCTTCCCTGTCATTTCTGTCTAGGGACCATGATCGTTGCAGCCTGTAAGTTCTATATTAATTGTTTGCTCTCTATCGAGGTGTACAACTCTCTCTTGAAGTCACAGGAAAAATGAGTGTCATAGAAGCATTTTTTTTTAAGAAGAGAGGTGTGTTTTTTTCAGGTGACTACCTGAAAGGAAATACCTTTTGCATGTTAGATGCTATTAAAGAACAGTACACTTTTGATGAAAAGTTGGTGGGGTTTTTTTGGTTTTTTTTGGTTGTTTTTTCTTGTTCTTGTTTTTTCAAATTTTGAGTATTGTATGTATGAATTTCAGTTGGATTCTAAACAGTGTCAGCACTCAGGCAGTCTGCTCTGTGTTTCTGCTTGCCTGTAATACAATTCTTACTTGGCAAATGATAAAGACATCCAGGCAAAGTGACAGTTGTCTAGGGGTCAGCATAACTATATTTTCTTTCTTTGGGTGTTTTTTTCCCTCTCCCGGTCTTTTATTTCTTGGCGTTTCACACACACACACACACACACACACACACAAAAAAGGAGTGGTCTTTTTAATCACTGCAGACTGTGTGGCTAGACAGGTGAAGGAGCTTAAGGTTTTCTGATCTTATTCTGCCAGATATTAAATAGTTACTTGACATGGCAAACTTTGTTCCTTCTCGCATGAGCGCAAATGGAAGAGGTCAAAGATTGTGCAGTACGAAAGCATACAAATATGTTTAGCACGAAACTACTTTATTAATAAGTTACAGGCCTGCAACATAGTTTTGCTTTGATTTTTTTTGTCAGTAACGGGAGCATTCATACCACTCTCTTTAGGTACCTACTTGCATTCTCTGACTTGCATCTGAACTGGAAACCTACTGTAGTCAATGTGAAAACCTCTCTTCTAAGGATTTCTAAAATGTAGTGAAACATATATGAGCATGGACAAGTAATTTGCCTAGTGGTGCCAGTTTGAAGGAGATGAGGAAGATAAGGAAGGTGGAACGAAGGAGAGGGGCTGAGAAAATATTCTTCTTGTTGTAGATTTGATCCCGATGCGTTGCAACACAAGTTGTCCTGTGGCTGAGGCATATCTACCTGTCGTGGACACACGTGGCTTGCACTGAAGCTTTAGTTGCACGCCCGTGGCCCTATCGTAATGCCCGTGAGGGCTTCCCGTAGGAACCTGGTAAACCTGCTCTAAGAGACAGGCAGGCAGTAGGGAGTTGACTGTTGTGGAGGTGGCATAGAGAGATATGGACAGTGATGCTGAACGCTGATCTTCTGTACCTCGAGGGCATGCTGTAACTTGCTGCATGGCGAGTCCGGAGAGGGGAACTACCACCAGGTTGTGAGTCTGTTGCTTGTTTATGTTTTCCGTATGAGACTGACGAATTTGGACTGAATTAATAAATTTCAGAGTAGCTGCAATCATGTTTTCAAGAAGCTTGTACTTAAAGAATAAATATATTACTTAAGTTTACTCCTGAGTGATTTGCCTTAGCCACTTATTGCCAAGTAATTTACCTCAGAAGTCATACTTCCTTCTACCACCATGTATTGCAGATGCACAACAAACATATCTGTCTTATCCCAGGAGATCCATAATCTGTGGGAATTTGTAGTCACAAAAGCAAGAAGTGCACTTTTTCCTTTTGAATTTTTATTAGTATTTCACCTTTATAGATGCAAACCTTGCTTCAAAATAGTCTGCCTAGGGCCCTATGCACTCAATAAAGGACTGACTGATTTTTCTTTGTGTAGGTGATGGAGAATTTAATTATTGATAAATTCAGAGCTAAGGCATGTGTAATACTGGATTATGTTCTTTGTGTAAGATTAGAAATGATATTTTGTTTATTGATGTAGGTAAAAATTCTAAGTACTGTTTTCTTTTAAAGGGGTGTATAACTGCAGAGGGAAACATTTTTCTTCACATAGATGGCAGAGCAGCTCGCTCATGGTAGTATAGCACTGCATATGTACACACACAACAAATGCATGTGCACACAAATGTCGAGAAACGTATACTTATGGTTGTTTATAGCACAGTCTTATTTCTAATACTGTACACCTGTTTTTCCCTACTGTGTCTCCTCCTGTACATCCCAATAATAGGAAAAATAATGCCTTCATAGCTCTCTTTTTTTTTTTAAGTGATGTCCAAAATTGAACAGCAATTAAAAGGAGAATGATGAAATAATACAAATAGCTTAACTTAGCAGATTAATATAATTTCCCTCGTTCTTTCCCTTCCTAGTCATATTCTTTTATTTTCTCTGAACACCAATACCCAGACCATCTGGTTCTGGGAGCAGTGGCAACCCTTCAGGCTTGCAAAAAAGCTGGAGCTGTTCAGACTGGTACAGTAGCCACCTCTGGTAGATCCATCATTCTCAGGTGTTAAAATTCCCTTGCATATAATAAGATTTATTTATTTTCTCATTGTCAGAAATTTCCATATTGCGGG